GGGAGTGTCCTGAATATTCCTTGCTACCACTATGGCCCAACTAACGGACGCTGATTTCGCCTTGCTATCAGCGGCCGTAGACTCATCCATCTTTTTAACTCCCTCAGCCTTGGATGGCTCCGACGGAGTGAACTTTAGTGGGTCGTCTGCTCTTCCGTTATCTGTTTTCCTCCCGGGGACTCCAGCTCGGGACTGCCTCGGCTTTTTCCCCTTCCTGCTGTCGCTTTTTGGCCCACTTGGCTTCGGTTTTATGGGTGTGGACTTGCTCAACGGTGACCCAGCTGATAGATGGACCACCCTGCGTTGGCATGCCTCGGTCACTCCCACTCCATGAGCCATATGGGCGTTTAGTTTGCTCAGAATAACTCGGTTCTAATAGCTCAGTTCAGTTCAGTTCTGGATAGGACAGGAAAAGACAGTTCACATGGCTTGCTGCTTGAGCCAGTATAAGAGTCCAGGTTCTTGCGTCTACGGGCCATGTGTTTCCCGTAACGCTTCGACAGTTAGTTAATCGGTCCTTGGTGGTGCAGGGGTACGGCCGCGGATCAGGTATGCCAGTCCGGTTTGCTGTTGATTTAAGCAGCACCAGCTGATTGATCACAGGCCATCCAGGAGGTCCGAGTACCCCTCCAGCAAAGCGTGGGGAACCCGCAGGCATGCAAAGATAGATTAGGATAGGAAAGGAAAAGTACGTGAGTAATTTAGTAAGCAAAAAGTAAGCTTTTGCGGGGAGGACGGTATAGGGAGCTGGAGATGAATTGAAGGTAGTTGAAGTAAAATGGGATGATATAAGTAAGAGTAAAGCTGAAGGGGGAGTGGTGTTCGGGAAAGCTTAAGTCATAGGTACCACCAAGGACTGTTGCTTCCTTCCTTAGGCTGATTCGGGAAGGTTATGTCCCACACCTCATCAAGCTTTCTTTTGAACGGCGCCAGTGTGGACGCCGGGACAACCTCGTCAGGAAGTCTATTCCAGGCATTCACCACTCTACGAGAGAAGTAGTTTGCCCTTTCTCTCTTTAATGCACGGGGTTTGGCCAGATTCAGCTGGTGTCCTCTGAGGGCTGGGTTTTCACTGAGGGAGAAGAGTTACCTGCTAGGCTGTGAGAGTCCTTCAGTATCTTGAAAACCCCTATTAAACCACCTCTCGTTCGTCTATGAGGTAGGGAGAACAAGTTTAGCTCTCTCAGACGCCTCGGGTACGACATCACTCTCAGGGCAAGAAAAAGCTGGACGTACTCTAGACCATTTGATTGCTTACGAGTTTCGGCGCCCATGCCTTTACGCAATACTCGGTGTGGACGCACCAAGGTCTTTTAGAAGCGCAGTAAGACTGCAGGGTCCCTCGATGCTACTGTTCTTCTCACCCAGAACAGCGCCTTAGATGCCTTTGCTGAGGCTACGTGGCACTGTCTGGTCGGCTGGAAGGAACCATGCATGACGATATCTAGGTCCCTGACCTCATCAGTGATTTTCAACGGTGTGAGTCCCGTGCCATTAGTCAACCTAGCCTCTTCGATGGATTCCCCTAAGAGAAGGTGTTTACACTTGGTGGCATTGAGTGGCAACAGCCACTCCTCCGTCCACTTCTGGACTTCATCTAGGTCATCTTGAATGGCGTTGGTGGAGGTGTCGCCGATAACTTTTACGTCATCGGCAAACAGCAAGGAAGTTATACTATCCTCTTGGTCAGGTCATCTATGTAGATGAGGAATAGTAGAGGTCCCAGCACGGACCCTCGGAGCAAACCACTACGGGCTGCCCCTC